CTCATCATACACAACCGGTTTAGCCAATTAAAAATTAAACACTTGCCATTAAATAAGCCAAACACCCTAAACCTATACCACTGTTAAGTGTTAACAGATTAAAATATCCAATAAAATCAAATGGACTGAACAGTCCGTAAGGTTCAAATGGTATATCAATACCACAACATCAATAACTCATGCTAGATATCCATTGCATGGATTAATGAGGTATTGGTTTTCGGGTATAATGGGGTAAGGGGCAAATCTTGAAAGGTTATTCAAAATTCAAAAAAAAAAAATCATTTTAATCAGACATCTGACTGTAAAGTTATAGACTCTAAAAATTTACATACATATTTAATATGCAACCCGTGACCTGATCACCGAATCAAATGGATCAACTGTCTAACTGCTTGGATCGAATGACTTTTGACCAATTCCCAGGTTATAGTAGAACTGAATTCAAAATCAGGGCAGAGTGGCAATTTGAACAGTTCGGCAGGGCTAGGTCAACGGTGGGTTCAAAACAATGAGTGTTACCACGAGAACAACGGGATGTAGGGAATGCAATGCATGGACCTCTTTTGGACTGCCACCTGAACTTCCACATGTGGAAGATTCCTGACACCTAGCTATCTTTTCTGGTCAATTAACCAGCAAAATCCAAACCCTATACATTTGTTATATTTCTTATCATGGTTTTTAAACTGTTGTTTACTCGGACAATCAGACCATTTGGCCCAGAAGTCATTCAGGCAATCAATTTCATTTTACCCCAAATTCGATCCCTGGCCAAAAATTGTTGAATCAATCAATGATCCATTGACTCGGGTGGTCAAACCATCAACTCGTTCAACGGTTTTTTGGCTGTTTTTAAAATAATTATTTTTTAAAATTTATTTTGTCAGAACAGGCCACCCATTCAGACCAGATAATCGTACCATTGACCTAGAAACTAGTGGTCAGAACGGTTCCAATTCTGAGTCGTTTTTTAATACATTGCTCCCTACCCCAAATTGATGTATTTGTATTAATCAATTTTCTTGTAAACGGGCGGGAGTATGTCCCTAGCTTATCCGGAGAACTTCAAAACAGATGAGCCAGCTTAATTGACTGCGTGCTTGGGAGGCCTGAGTTGAATTAGGCTGGTTTAGCTACTTTGAGTCACTCTGGATAAGCTATATGAAGAGGCTAAAGTGGATGTATCAAAAAATGACCGACTGACAGCCAATTTGGATTTTCCAGATTTCTCACCAAATATAGCTTAAAGATTGTTTATTAGGGCTGAAGTGCTCACGCTTCTCATTTTCTGAGATAGGCGCCACACAAACAGCCTATAAGTCATGTTTGCTGAAAATCCCAGGTCAACTATCAATAATCAGTCATTTGAAGAGCTGTCTACTTCGCCCCCTTTGAATATAGCTTATTTGAAGCGCTTGAAAGCTGCTGACCCATCTTAGCTAAATCTTCAGTTCAGTCCTACTCCTCCCAAATAGGCCTTAGCTGAGTTGTTGGCTGATCCAAGTGAATCTGTTTGCATGTTCTATGCATAGGGATGTTAATTTCTACTCTATTTAGTGAGTTATGACGGGGCTCTTTTTTTTCTGTTTTGCTTAAAGAACGGGTTTTGGAGTGGGTATAGGTTTTGGGATTCTACAACCTGTATGGGTATGGAGTAGGATACGGTATTAGACTAAACCCTAGCTCCCCAATCCACATATTGTTGTAAAGCATATAAATTTTATGTATTAAGAGTTGAATTTAATAATATTTTGAATTTTATGTGATAATTGGTGGTTTATGTGCTTTTTTACATATCTTAATCAAATAATTGGAAAATTTGTTATTTCTTTGTGTTATTTTACTTATTTATTGCTTATATATTACAAGAAATAATAGGAAATTAGATGTGAATGGATTCTAAACCCAATCTGCCCCTACCCTTGAATACGGAGAGGGTATGGTTAGGGAGGGTTTTGCATTTTCATGTATGGGAAGGATTTGAATTCTCAAAATCCAATCCACTATGGGTTTTGGAGTGGGTGTGAGTTAAGAGATTTAGGAAGGCGAATAGAGTCTAGAATTTACAAGACCCTTCCCAAACCTGTCCCGTCGATGCAATAAGAACTAGCTAAGGCTTGGAAGCTAATAAATAATTAATTAACCTTGGTTAATTAATTTAATTTAATTAAGGTTTATTGATTCTCAGGGTTATTCTATTAATTTTATTTTTTACATTTTATTAATTATACTTTGAAATTCTACTTAATTTAAAATTATTAGCTTAAATGTTTGTTAAGAGAAACGGATTTTATTACTTTTATTATAATTATTCATTTTTTATATTTAGTAGTTTTGTACTTAATTGTAATTTTTAATTTTTTTCATCTTAATTATTTAAAGGTTCCAATTTATTGAAAATAAACATTAAAACTAAAAAAATACTAACTTGTATTATTTTATCATTTTTTATTAATTTTATCAAGAAGCAAGTTAATTTTTAATATTAGTTTCGTAGTGGAAATTTTAATTAAATAAACTGATTTTATAATTTAATTAGATTATATTATGTTCAATTAAAATTATAATATAATTAATTAAGTTATTGATGGAACACCAATCCATTCATTGAAAACCAAATATTCTAGATTCAGCATGCCTTTTAAAGAAGATAACTGAATTCGTGGCATGCCTTTGTTCTTAGGAAAATGGAATAGTTATCGTAAGAAGATGGGTTAAAGACTTAAACCTCCCTTCACATTTCTCATAAATACTGAAACCTCCCCTGTTTTGAAATTGGATTAAGACCTCCTTATTGGGTGAGATCATTGGACGAAAACCTCCCCTCCTCGAACAAATCTAGTATGATCCACCTTATGACCAGAAAAAAATCCCTTTCCATTACTCCTTATTCAGTATTTGTGTTGTGTTTTGTTTTAAATTAGTTTATTAGTGATAATCTTTGTTTTCCTCATGAGTCAAGATATGTAGGAAAACTAGCTTCAACTACAGGAGATTCTATAAATATGGTTTGGGAAGAAATATTGGTCATGATGCCTCTGCGAAATAGAATAAAACAACCACAAGCATTGTCAATCCACTTCATAACCGATGAGTTATCAAGAAGTAGCGGATTCACTTTCTCTCCAGTTTTAAAAATCTGTTGGGTTTTAATTGGATGGTTTGAGAGCTTCCTCCATTAAATAAATGAGTAGGAGTTCAAACCTAGGAAGTTGAAAGTTAGGGCTTCTCTTGTATCGTTTGTAATTAATTAAAACTTACAAGTTTGTTTCTTTTCGAGAGAGGTGCCTTCAAAATGATTGTCTTTTGGAAATTACGCAGGATTTGCAAAGAATGGTAGATAGCTTGCAAGGCATCCTATCCTATTTCTTCCCTGAGTTTATGGTTTATGTGGTTTTATTTGAAAATTTAAGGAGTGATGGAGGGTAAAAATGTCTTTTAATGGATTCGGCCAAATATAAAGGTATATTCTTCTAATAGGGGAGATTTAAGTCCTATAAAATATTAGAGGGAGGTACAAGTGTTTATCACAAACCACAGGGAGGTTTAAGTCTTTTACCTAAGAAGATTGACGTTAAATAGTTGCAAGGAGCAAGGAGAGGATAATGACGTGAGTTAAAGAGGTATTTAGGAATGATGAAGGGGGAGAGAGAGAGAGTTAAGGAGTAAGTTTTCCACTTTAACATGATTTGGGTTAGTGGTAATTAGAGTTTTGCCATGTGGCTCAATTAAGAGGTTTGGGTTGAAGAAAAAGAGGAAAAGAGAGAACGAATAAGTAGGAATGGCAACGGGACAGGTTTGGGGCAGGGCTTACATTTCTCCGACCCTGATTTCCAAATCATTTCCCATCCCCATCCCCGATCTCCGTCCGGGAAAGAAATGCTCCTCCATGCCCAACCCCACCTAGGATGAGTTCCTCGTTGAAGACCCAGATCCCAGATTGTTTTTGAGTTCCCCATCAAAGAAAGGAAAGCTCCTCCATCTCAGATCTGCATCTGAGATTCACATTGATTAGGTGATGGCCACGAGTTGCAAAGTTTCAGATTGATTCACATTGATTAGGTGATGGCCATGACTGCGATTCACATTGATTCACACAAGTTGCAAAGTTTCAAATCTGCAACTTGTGAGCACTGAGTTGAGAGAAAGAGAAAGAGATGAGTTGCAAAGTGTCAGATCTGCAACTTGTGAGCACTGAGTTGAGAGAAAGAGAAAGAGACGAATTGCAAAGTTTTAAATCTGCAACTTGTGAGCACTGAGTTGAGAGAAAGAGAAAGAGACGAGTTGCAAAGTTTTAAATCTGTAACTTGTGAACACTGAGTTGAGAGAAAGAGAAAGGACCGTTGCGGGCTTGCGACGTTGTCTCACCTGAGAGAGAAAGAGGGCACCGACGGCGACCACTGATACTGAAGACGATAGGATAGACGAAGAACAGAAGAAGGGTAGGGTTTTGAGTTTCAGGCGCCACCCTCTGTTCTTTCTTCTTTGTTTGTTGAGTGTCTAGGTAGTAGAAGAGAGTGACTCTCGAGAGTTGAGAGTTTTAAGTTTGTCTTTTACTCTTTTTTAGTTTTTGTTATTTGTGTAATTATAATATAATAATATTATAATTATAATATAATAATATTATAATATTATTATATTATACTCTTTTTTACATTATAATATAATGCACCAATGCCGCATTCCCCATCCCTGTTCCCGAACCCGATCAGGGATTCAGTTTTAGCCCCATCCCCGACCCCACCAAAGCACTCCCATACCTGACCCCACCGGATCAGAGAGCCCGGGTACTTGTCAGGGACGGGAAAAATTGCCATCCCTATGAGTAAGAGGGATTCTAAACCCAAGCAATTTATAAGACCAAGCCCAGCCCAATTGATGTTAGGTTTTACTCAAGCTTATGCTTGCATTGACTATTAGGGCTTTGACTTTGCTTGGACTTGGAGTATTTTTGTTTTGTAACAATCGATGCTTCATGCTTGGACAGTGCAGCCTCCTGAAAGCAACTTTGAAATTCAATTATTCAAAGGCTACATATTTCCATGATGGAAAATGTAAATTTCATTTAATAAACAATGAATGATAATTATAATAAACAACAATTAGGATTTAGGAGGCAGAAGAACATTTTCAATTACTTGGGGAACAACTGCTCGAACCCTTATTCAGTTGAGAAACTTCGACTGCTTGTATGCTAGATTACTACTTACTAGAATCTGGTTTTTCCTTCTGCTTAGTCTTAGGACTAGCATTGTTGAAGACAATTCCGAAAGAATCGTATCCCCTGTACCAAACAAAGATTCCATTAAGGATACAAAGTTGTACCAGAGAGCGAGAGGACTCTGGATCTCCTGCCCACGAGAACTCTGCCAATGTCTACCCACAACACACTACCCCCATGAATTGGGAACATCTCCCCGTGCATAATACTATGCAGGAGGATGAGATATTCTCCATGTATGGCTGTGATGTTATGTGGGTAGATGTGGGCAGAGTTTGTGTGGGCAGGAGATCTGGACTCGAGAGAGGGAAACCTGGAAATGAAATGCAAATATTCAAATCTCATGTCTGCACCTGCAAGGCAAAAGTAATATCTGCATCAATTTTTAATATTACTCTCCTTAATCTATCCTCTCGAGATTGGCCAAGTTTGAGAAGACCCTGCATTATGAAATAGATCAAAGTCTGTCAGCCCTAACTTGCTCTACAGGTCATTTTAATAATTAAACTGGTAAGATTGCAAGAGAGTACTTGTTAATTATTTGGAAAAAGAAAATTAACTCAAATAGAGCTTTAGAGCTATTGTATTTTTGACCTGGTCACCGAGCACTTTACACATATTTGAGAATTCCGGAATGCCAGAATGGGGGATTAGTGCTGATTTACAGATCTCGGAGTAAGATTTATTCAGCTGCACCAGATAAACAACTTGAACCATCAGCTGTGAACATATTTAAGACAGCTTCTTAATTATCTAAATATAAAACTTGGGGGAAGGGAACATACATCTCCAATAGTAGTATCTTTCTTTCCCTTGCGGAAAAGTTTCACCAAAGAGCAAAGTATCATCTGCAGTACAACAGTTTTAAATTGATGTATAAGAATTCAACCCTTCCTTAAGAAAGGTACTAAGGCTATGAATAGAAGATATATATGGCATCATTTTTCTGTCAAATGACAAGTCTTATTTTCTCAAGTTTAGTTATAAATAGATATTTTTTAATGCAGAATCTGGCAGGGTGCAAAAATTCTACATTAAATCAAGGTTTCTAAGCCAATAGAAACCAACAACTTAAAATAGCTAAATATTCCAAGCAACTGATAGCCATTGAAAAGTTCTAGTGTTGAAATTTTAGCTGGGATTGATCACCCCGGAGTCCAATTTTAACTTACCTGTTGATGCTGTGGAAGAGACTGTATAGTGTCCACTATTGCTGATTTGAATGCCCTTGATAAAGCAATGGCCATATAATCAACCCTCACCTACATGTGTTTAAAATGACTAAGATAATGGTTCCCAACAAAGGACATCATTGGCATAGAGGACCATGAACTACTAGATTCAATAAGTAAATAATTCTCTTCATAACAGCCACTGTGTCCATCACAACGATTTACCAGTCAGTTTGAAGCATTATAACACTCTAATACTATTAATGAAACTAATTTTCCAGATCAAATGTGTGTGTGTGTGTATACCAGGTTCTAGTATAAGAACATGCCAAGATAGTTTAACAATTTGGGAGTACCCAACATTTAAATAGTTATTATAACCATTATAAAAGTCAATAATATTAAAGTTCTGGTGGCATTCCCTTTTAAGTTTTCATTATTTGAAGACTTGATTGAGATGAAAAAGGATAAGTGTCTAGAGATATAATAATGTCAACTTGATGAGATAATAAAGTACTAGAAGATTGATCACTTACAATGTTAATTTCTTGCTTCAATAATTCTGCTACAGGAGATATCAGTTGATGAGGTGATGCCTGCTCAACCTGTAACAATCCTGTACTACCACTTTGATTTTTCAACTCTTCTTCTAGCATCTCAATTGCATTCCTGAAGCACAACGGAACCTTAACTTTGGCACCATTTGAGCAACATGATTTCAAGTGAAATGACAGGAATATTCTATTTGATTCAACTACTGCACCAGGAAATGCTTTTCCTAGGGCAGACGTGGTTTTTTAGATGTTTCTCCAAATGTAGGCATGCATCTATATGCTGAAGGTTGAAAATCAATGTACATAAAACTTAATCATGTCCTAACATTGATGTTACATGCAATTTTCGTATGATCTTTCAAAAACTTTTCCAATTACAGAAAAGATTATGAAATGGAAATAAGAAACATTGAGACTCAGAAAAGTTGAACCAATTTACTCATGCTTACAGGATGGAGATAAAAGAAGAAAACAAAAAGCCAAGAGAAAAGAGAGAAAACAATATAGAATGCAGCAATGAAAATTGGTGCAACCACAAATGCCAACAATGCATCAATTACAATAGAACACTGACCTACAAACACAGAGAGCTTTCCTCATATCTCCAGATGCAGCTGCAACTCTCTTATCATATGGCAATATAGTTAGAAACTTTTCAAAATAAAATGCAATATTATAAAGTGTAATTACTTCAATGGTGTAAAGAAGTTACCAGCAGAAGACAAGTTATAAGGCTTCGCTTGGTTATATAAGAAAAGTAAAAAAAAAAAAAAAGAAATCCTATACCATTGAAGAAATTTCTATACTGAAGATTTTACCATTCAAGTCACAAATTTTAAGGCCTATACTCCAAAGATAACTGGTATTTTTTTTCATATGCAGGCTGGAATCAAATCAAGAAATCCACGATATACAAAATCCTACTTAATATATCACATACGGAAAAACACATATGAGAGTAAGTCAAGAAATCCATGACCCACTTTATTAAGGTATTTGATCTTTTGAACAATGCAATCCAAAATATTACAAATTTTAACTATATTGAAATAAATTGCTAGGTTGTATTACTTCAGAATGATATGATGAGACCAATGATACCATCTAAAATGGTAAGTCATGGACCGTCATCTGGTCTGTGTTTGAACTATTGCACTTCAACCATGAGATCGACATAATGAAGGGGCAAGGGCAGTGTATGCATGAGAGAGATAGGAGGGGTCATGGTTTTATCATGTATCCAATGCAAAAGATCCAATATGAACTTAGCAATCAAGTCTTCAAATACAGACAAGCATGCATAGGAGAGAAAAGAAGAAGCATTAGAAGTGAAACTGGACATACTCTTGCACAAATCTCCAATGCTTGAGGTTGAAAGACATCATATGGAAGAGCCTAATAAAACAGCAAAAAAAAGTCAGGTAATACTGGAGAAGTTCTTTTTGCTCCTTATATAATTCTTTGGAAAAGGTAAATTACACTAGAAATGAAAAAGAAAGACAATACAAAACAGAAGCTGAGAAGCATGGTACAAAAAATTTCACTCAAAATTCAAGGAACAAACTCGACCTCAACCTAATCAATATTTGCAAACAATCACAAGTCTGTTATGTTATTTGTTAACCATAGAATCTATATAAAACATGCACAAAAGTTTGATACTAATAAAATCACAGGATCTATATAAAACATTTTCACAGGATGACTGCTTGTTAGAAAACAATCTATGGAGGTGCTGAAGTGGTGAAGTTCCATTTGTCTTCTTCCGGGAATGAAGCTTTTCAAATATCTAAGGCAGCCACAGAAAATTAGTACATTCAACATGTAGGTTTCCATAATACATAGGAACAAGTCATGGTATGTGTGCCTTAAGGAAAATTTCACTTGTGTTTGTAAGAGAAGTACAATTTATACTCAATACATCTGGTAGTTGAAATCCTGCCTGGCAATGAAGTCAACATAGGAACCTGGTTTAGTCTAAAAAGGAATTTAGAACATAATGGAGCAGGAGAAACATATACATGCACAAAGCACCCAACTTTCATCTAGAAGGACCTATGCATACACATCTGACATAGCTGGGCATTGAGACTCACAATTAATTGGTCCATTTTAATGGAGATGTCTTATAAGTCAAGGATAAAATCTGACCATTGGATAACCTTAATTATCCAATCAATTATGTACTCTTGGGCTGTCAGAGTACATGGAAAACACACCTCCCATACCTCACACAAAGACAGAAGAAGAAACGAATATTAAGAAGTCATCAATTATGTGGAGATGTGCTAGAGTTGCTGTCTGCTGGGAAATTTGGGAAGAAATAAATTCACACATCTTGTCTGAAAAGGAAAGGAGTAAAGATGCCATCATTGAAGTAGTTGCCATTAGGGTGGTACATTGGGTGAAGTCTGTGGATATTTGTTTGAGGGTGTCACTACAGATATGTTGTTGAGGAATTGGAAGGAAGTGGCTAATTTAGTGTTATGGGCCCGGGAATAGGATC